CCGGTAGGCTCATCAGAAAGAAATCTGTAGCATTTATATGGTGAGGAGAGACGCATGGCTTATGCACGTCAGTGTGAACTGACACATTTGATAGAATGGAATTCTATCTACAGCATGTAGACAACATGCTCAGTGTGAATTAGAGGTGAGAGACTATAGTCCAGTACTTGAGATATTTCAGGCAGCACCAAACAGACAGACACTGCCATGCTTAGAGAGCTACATCACTAGCTTGGCATCAACAAAGGCCATCTTCTCTTATTTAAAGACTATTTAGATAAGTGGAAAGGTAAAACCAATCTGTTGAAACACTCATACTCACTTGTCTGACAGATGGTAACAGCTTGTGCTCATTAGCCAACAGCTAATAAGGAAGATCGATGTGATTCATCACTGTCTTTATTAAAATGCAGCCATCTCTGCTGTGAATCAAAACACAGTCTCTGAAGATGTTTAAATAAAATGTCTTCTAGTTTGTTCCCCTGCCTGCAAAGAGGTCAGCTATGAAACAGCAATCTCAGAGCAGACAGGAAGAACAATTTGACCACATTTCCCTACTGCTACCCCTGCTGCTTTAGATAGTTTAACTTCTACCATTTGCATCACCTCGGGCTGGGCTGTTTAAAATGGAACTTTCATCTTCCTGTTTTTTTTTCTAGCCATTTACCAAACCTCCTTTTGAGTAGCCCACACAGAGTACTGGTATCAGCAGTGTTAAAAAAAAGCAAGCCACTTTCTGATTAAGCAGAAGATTGACAGCACAACAAATTATTTTGAAATAACCACTTGGAGTGTTATTGCAGGTCCTTCCTTCCTGTACAACCAGCATTGCTCCCCAGTAGACCTGCCCCCTAAGTCGACGTCACACACCCACGGACAGAATAACTATGAATACACAGAATTCCCGTGTGCAATGTCTTACTTATTTATTATAGCTTGTCTATATTTATATTGGTAAAACCTTGTCTGCTACTTTAACAGTGAGTGCCTGTTTCTATCCCCTTGCTGCTGAAACCATGTAAATTTCCCTGTAGTGCGACTAATAACCGATTATCTTAAAAAGTTAGTGAGATCTAATCTAAAGCAAAGACTTCTGTCCAGGAAGTGATGAACCATGTTATCACTATCATTTACAGGCTTAGACATCCTTGTTTATATTTTAAACGTTTCTCCACTACTGTGCAACAGAAACGTGATACCTCCGTCTATATGAATCCATGACACCACTTAGTCAACAGATGTTGCAAGCACTTTACTTCCCATTTTCCAGGAAATCTCTGCCGTTTACTATTGGCCACAGAGCAGCTCCCATCACTCTTCCTATTCTTTTGAGAGTTTTTTTTTTGCCTTGTTTGAGAGCACCGCAAGGTTAAAATATTAATGATAACTAGAGCTGTACTTACTCCATTTCTAAAACCCAAAACTTTTTTGCTGGAGCTAGAGATTTAGAACAAATTCAGGTGCAAATAAAGTATCAAAGGATAAGGTTTTGTAATGGAATAGTAAAATTAAAACATGGTTTGCTGAAGAAAAAAAATGTATGAAAATGTATTAAAAAGCCTTTATTCTTATGGCTCTCATAGTGAGGATTAAAAACAATACATGTTCAAAAGGTTTGTTACAGCCCACGGGCAAAATGAAAATTAAATTGAGGTGTAATAATAAATTATGACCGAATTTTTGACAGTCCATCAAAATGCTGGACAATGAGAAAATCTAGAAAGTTTGGAATATAAAATGGTGAGAGCTGATTCAGTTGCGTTTAATGTAGACCTTGATGACTGACTCGAGTAACGAGGACTCGGCTCAGACTCGAATTATTCTTTGGTGACTCGGACTAAAGACTCGACTTGAGCACTGGGGACCTGCCTACAACACTGCATCATGAACAAGTCTGCTAGCTCGTCTTCCTTACATCACATGATAAGAGTGCACAGTGGAAAATATCTTCGTTCCTGGTCAGACAGAGCACATTTTAGCAGCCTGGTGCATCTTTTTGTAATCCCTTCCAATGACAGTGAAGCATTTTGCTCACTTTTGTATAGCTGAGTGCCTCATGTTGTTTCACTCACTCAAACGCCTCCAGTTGAAATTACTTCAACTTACAGCAGAAAAGTACCTGATGTCGTTGGCGGTTTTTTTTCCCCACTGTCCAATCAGATAAACCGAGAGGCAAGCCTTCTGTGGTAGTGACTCAAAATGTAGTGGTGACCTACCACAATAAAGGCTCAGCCACTCAGCAGGACAAATGGACTCTGTAGTTGGTGGTCATTTTAGTGACGCAAGGCCCAACGATTGACAGCAGATTGTCAAACTGTCCCTGACTCATTCTAAGATACACCTTGAAGCAACCATCATCCATATTTCTTCTGAGGGTCATATGATGTACAGTATTGTTCAAAATAATAGCAGTACAATGTGACTAACCAGAATAATCCAGGTTTTTAGTATATTTTTTATTGCTACATGGCAAACAAGTTACCAGTAGGTGCAGTAGATTCTCAGAAAGCAAACAAGACCCAGCATTCATGATATGCACGCTCTTAAGGCTGTGAAATTGGGCAATTAGTTGAAAGGGGTGTGTTCAAAAAAATAGCAGTGTCTGCCGTTGACTGTACAAACACAAAACTATGTTGTACAAACGTTTTTGTTTCTAGGATTTAGCAATCCTGTGAATCACTAAACTAATATTTAGTTGTATGACCACAGTTTGTTATAACTGCTTCACATCTGTGTGGCATGGAGTCAACCAACTTGTGGCACCTTTCAGCTGTTATTACACTCCATGATTCTTTAACAACATTCCACAATTCATTTACATTTCTTGGTTTTGCTTCAGAAACAGCATTTTTGATATCACCCCACAAGTTCTCGATTGGATTAAGGTCCGGGGATTGGGCTGGCCACTCCATAACATTAATTTTGTTGGTTTGGAACCAAGACTTTGCTCGTTTACTAGTGTGTTTGGGGTCATTGTCTTGTTGAAACAACCATTTCAAGGGCATGTCCTCTTCAGCATAAGGCAACATGACCTCTTCAAGTATTTTGACATATGCAAACTGATCCATGATCCCTGGTATGCGATAAATAGGCCCAACACCATAGTAGGAGAAACATGCCCATATCATGATGCTTGCACCACCATGCTTCACTGTCTTCACTGTGTACTGTGGCTTGAATTCAGAGTTTGGGGGTCATCTCACAAACTGTCTGTGGCCCTTGGACCCAAAAAGAACAATTTTACTCTCATCAGTCCACAAAATGTTCCTCCATTTCTCTTTAGGCCAGTTGATGTGTTCTTTGGCAAATTGTAACCTCTTCTGCACGTGCCTTTTTTTTAACAGAGGGACTTTGCGGGGGATTCTTGAAAATAGATTAGCTTCACACAGACGTCTTCTAACTGTCACAGTACTTACAGGTAACTCCAGACTGTCTTTGATCATCCTGGAGCTGATCATTGGCTGGGCCTTTGCCATTCTGGTTATTCTTCGATCCATTTTGATGGTTGTCTTCCGTTTTCTTCCACGTCTCTCTGGTTTTGCTCTCCATTTTAAGGCATTGGAGATCATTTTAGCTGAACAGCCTATAATTTTTTGCACCTCTTTATAGGTTTTCCCCGTGCCTATCATGAATGCTGGGTCTTGTTTGCTTTCTGAGAATCTACTGCACCTACTGGTAACTTGTTTGCCATGTAGCAATAAAAAATATACTAAAAACCTGGATTATTCTGGTTAGTCACATTGTACTGCTATTATTTTGAACAATACTGTATGTACATGGAACTCAAGATTCTCTGTATCCAGTTTTTTGGAGAACAGCCTCTCACCCTCAATCATGCTCTTTTTTTATGCTTAGATGATAAGGTAAGACATTAATTATGTACATTTTTATGTTTAGATAAATGTTTAAATAGATGTTTAAACAGTCTAGCTGTTAGGCAAAGGATAGCAATTCTGTGTTTGCCTAGTAAAAATTTTAAAAATATGCAACAAGCTGCTCTTTTTTTTTTTTTTTTTTTTTTTTGTAGATGCTCTGTCTGATCGGGGCCTTAGCAGTCATCCATGGATTTAGGAACTCAGGCTTCAGGCTTCCCAAAAGCATCTTAACAATAAGGCCTTCTCTGTCCAACTGACTTAAAATGATCTGAGATGTGCCACTTTGCCAGCTGCCGATCTGGAAGAGAACCAGTTCTCACTGTCTGCTTGGAGCATCTAAGAATGTGTGTGTGAGAGAGTGAGAGAGAGAGTGAGAACAAATATGCTTGCAGGCATGTGTACTGGATTCAGCTACACTGAAATGTTTCCAAAGGCTCTGGGACTGTTTAAAAAAAATTTTGATCTTGTTCTCGCTCTTGCGCACATGTGTGTGTGTGTGTGTGTGTGTGTGTGTGTGTGGTTACACTGTGGGTACAAAACTAACATAAGGTTAGTAGGGTTAGGAAAGTTAAGGTAATGCTAGCAATGATTGAAATACAGCCTTATTTTATCCCTGACACAGTCCAACACATTGTCAAAACAAAATCCAAAA